ATTTCAGGTATTTTATTTAACATATTATAGTTTTTATTTTACTTGAAACTTTTTAACTAATTTTAAGCCCTAGCCTACCTACGATTGTTCAACTCATCTCAATCCCTAACTTACCTATGAATTAAATTAAGTCCGGTAAAAAAGTAGAAAGTTGAAGAGAAACATAACAACGACACCGACTGAATGGATGTTGTGTATGCGTGTGTTGTATTGATGTGTGTGTGTAAATGTGCGCGCGTGTACTCTCCAGACACTTCTTATTATTCTCTTCGAATTGTCATCGGAACGATCATCATGAGACCACCACCTGAATCGTGCTGACGCCCACCACAACCCACCTCTCAGCATTCTGTAGACAATTTTTTTATTAGCGTAGTATTAAATGAATGTTAGAATCTTAGATGAAAAAATTATAAAATGAAAATATTGGCAAATAAATAATATTTTAAAATAACAAAGAGAGTAAAATATAAAAAAAACTTACTTTCGTCCATTCGACAAAGGCAGAATGTTGAATGCTTGAGTGAGTGAATGAATTAATTAGTTAAGTAATCAATCAATGTTTCAATGATTAAAAAAAATAAATTAATGGAAAAATAATTTGAAAGATTGAGTGATAAAATGAATGAATGAATGAGAAAAATTAAAAGACGAAATTAAAAGACGAAATTAAAAAAAACGAAATAAAAAATTAAAAGACCTTACTTCAAAAATCGGCGTTACTGTAATTCATTGCACCGACTACCACATTCAGATCGGCACACAAGATTTCATCCGAACTTCAGTGTCTGTCGAACAGCCAACGAGCTGATTCTTCATACACCACCATCATCATGTGCAAATCATCATGAGACCACCATCTGAAACGTGCTGACTCCCACCTCTGCCCACCTCTCATCGTTCTGTAGACAAAATATTTTTTTTTGCTTGGTAGTAAATGAATGTTAAAATCTTAGAAGCAAAAAATTAGAAAATGAAAATAATGGCAAATAAATAATATCTTAAAATAATAAAGAGAGTAAAATGCAAAAAAAACTTACCGTCGTTCATTCGACAAAGGCAGAATGATGAATGCCTTCCGGTTCCTACGTTGTCCTCCAAAACTGGTGCCAGTCCTTCTTGAAATTGTTGTTGAAACACAGCCCGTGGGATGGAGAAAGATAAAGATAATATTCTCATCAGAAAGCTTAGCGGTGCTTGCATCTCAAATTGCTTAATAAAAATAATCCTATCTACCTATTTAATTACCTTAACTAATCAATATTAAATTGTTAATGGTACGATAGTCAAAAGCCCCCCTTCATTCTCCCTCCTTGCACAGAGGTTCACCGATAGCCAGGGCACCGGATAGTAAACCATTGCCGTGCGGATAGTAGACTATTGCCGTGCGGATAGTAAACCATTTGCCGTCCGGAAGCCGTGCGGGTAGTAGACTATGGCCATGCCGCATAGTAAATCATTACCGTGCAGATAGTAAACCATTGCCGTCCGGATAGTAACCATGCCGGTTCACCACTGGCCACCAAGGCTTACCTCTGACAAGAGACTTTGAAATTCAGAGTCTATCGGCTATCGTACCCTCAACTTACCTATTCATTACAATTAAGCCCTAGCTTACTAAAATTACAGAACTCAAGAGCCCAATTCATTGGCCTTTCGGCACCCACCCCACCACCTACGTAATGCCTTGGGCTCCAACTTAGTAATAATAATATAAAACTTAAACCCTAAATCTATTAATGAGTGTTACAACGTAGCCTTAACTTACCTATTCATTAAATTACGTACCTAGCTTACCTAAAATTACAAAACTCAAGAGCCCAATTCATTGGCCTTTCGGCACCCACCCCACCACTTACGTAATGCCTTGGGCTCCAACATAATAATAATATAAAACCTAATAATTAACCTACCTATAGATACACTTACAGCGTTTTAATTTACATTACAAGATTGTTCCTAGAATTACATTATTGCCCTTAACTACCTATGAAATTAAATTACTCTCAAACTCTCAACCTTAGTAATAATAAATTAGAATGTGTAATGAAAATAAAATTACGCTCAATTACTAACATATATGTTTATATATGCATTTGTGTGTGTGTGTGTGTGTGTAATATGCTGATGCGTGTAATGTGGGTGCAAGAAAAAATAGAAGTGATAAACTTACGCGCCTAACTATTCAACTACATAAGTGTTAGATGCTTCCTACCTATTCTACCTACAACTAAAATTATGCCTATCTAACCTACCTATATAGCTACTTAATGTAATTGTGTTTGTGTGCGTGTGTGTGCGTGTGAGCATTCCTACTTAATGTTAAATTACAGAGAAAAAAGAATGAAACGTATCCCAGCCAGGCGTGTATTCTTTGCCACTGAATGAATGAACGTAGCCTGACACTTTCCATGATGAACTCCTCTGGAAGCTTCAACCTAAATGAAATGAATAAAATGAAAAAATCTTATTTATTTAAATTAATTTAAATGAAAAGAGAGAATGAGAAACGAGCCGTTGTGAAACCCATCAGCCGGAAAAGCCAGCCAACTGGCAAAAAAAGGAACCGCAAATAAACCATAAAACTTACTCCATCCAAGGCATGCATTCTTTGCCACTGAATGAACGAACGTAGCGTGACATCACAACCATTCTGATTTTCCACGATGAACTCCTCTGGAAGCTTCAACCTGAATGAATGAACCTGAATGAACCTAAATGAATTGAAAAATCTTATTTAATTAATTAAAATGAAAATAGAGAAACGCAAAGAAGTCGACCGGTCGGCAAAGAAAAAACCTCAAAGAAAGGTATATATATATATATATATATATATATATATATAGAATTTATGCTCTATATAACTCTATATAACTCTATATAACTCTATATAACTCTATATAACTCTATATAACTCTAAGTCTGCCTGATCTGATTTTCATGCTATCACAGCTCCTATTTATATTCGTTTCAACCATACATTTTCATTATTTCAATCATTCATATCAGTAAAAAACTTATTTGATGTATGTACTGCACTATTATACAGTCTTAACCACAATGCTAACCGTACTAAATTGACGTCATCGAACGAACGCCTTCGAAACTTTTTGATTGGCTGGTTGAATCTGCTATATTAAATTCTATATAAACAACAATGTTGAAAGTAATGTTGAATTTTTGAAATGTTGCGTTAACAACAGACTGTTACCAAAAAATATATATATACATATATATATAATATCAATTTATTATAAAAGCACCAGTAATCAGTGCTATATATGTACGCACGCAGTTCAAATTTTTCTGGGAGAATTCAAAATAGTTTGAGACCACACCTTGCTTAACATCCAATTCCATGCCGAGCCGAGCCAAGCCAAGCCAAGCCAAGCCAAGCCAAGCCAAGCCAAGCCAAGCCAAGCCAAGCCAAGCCAAGCCAAGCCAAGCTGAGCCAATATACGTAGATTTATAAGCGCTTTTATATTAAAATTTTGCTCGCTTTATATACAAAGATCCCAATTTAACAAATTCTCCATACTATTTTCAAAATGTTTTTTGATGCTTTTTAATCAGTCAGGTCACAACCATCATCATCGATATTGCGTTGAAATCAAATTGAAATTTTTTTTAAATTGTTATTAAAAGTAACTAGTATATAGTAAAAAGTTTAAATTTTCTGAGAAAATTCAAAATAATTTGAGACAACACCATAACACAATTGTACAATTTGAATGTGTAAATACAACATTATAAATGTGTTATAACTTTGTATATATATCTATGAATCTATTTCTTTATTTAGTTCTGCCTGCGTATGATATTTGGTCAAATTTATTTGATAGGAATTGAATATAACTTTTATACCGGCTGATTAACTCATGCAGTAAAATAACTACTGTTAACATGACGTCATTTCCTCCAACGATTTTGCTACGAATTACCCATCATATTTAATAAATTTTATTTGATGTTTTTTAATTAGTCAGGTCACAATCATCATCATCGATCGATATCGCAATGAAATCAAATTTAGAATTTTTTAAATTTTTGAAAAAAGTATCTTTAACCATTTTATGATACTACTTTGTTCAATAAGATACTGTTTGATACATATAACTAGAATATATATAACGGCCTTCGCTCACTTTCAACGGTCGAACAAGGAGCTTACTTTCGGAGGGGAGTTGGAGGGTGATTTTTTTTATCGTTCGAGCGAGTCAAAAGTTACGATCGTATATTTATTTACTAATTAAGGAATATTGAATACGGAAAATTACGGCTTTCATTTAGAATATTAAAAATTTTAATTTTTTAATTGTTATTCAATGTGGTAATTAGTTACTTTTATTTGGTATAAATTTAAAAAAATAAAATCGACATTACCGAAAATAATTAAAAGTTGAAAAAATTGAGATTCTTTGCATATCCCTGCTTCAACCCATAGTGTTGTATGTGTTGTATATCTGTAAATAGGCCTCTCCTTGTGATAACCATAATTTCGTGATGTTGATGATGATGATTGTGATGTGGTGATTGTTATGTAAATAATGATGACAGCTAAACTGATGATGATGATGATGGTGGTGCTGTTGATAGTAGGTATTGATTAAAATAAGGATGATGATGATGGCGACGATGATGATTATGATGATGATGATGACGACGACAATATTTTGCAAATAAACGTTTAGGTATTTTAGGTAGAAAATCGACCAAAATTGGATGTGATAAGCAAGAAAAAGGTTGTCAGCCCCACACTACCGCAAATCATGGCCCCTTCCCCGTAAAAATTTGAACCTTTTCAAAATTTTGACCACCATCGTCAATGTTATCTAGATCTGCCACTGAATATTTGTATTACATATTTGGTTTTATGTGTTATGTATTTTATGGTTTTTTGCTTAATTTTCTTACAAGCAGGGTTGATTGATATCGAGTAACATCCATGAAACAAGAGTCAAACTCTTTATTGTATGCCTGTTATGTTGTTTTGTAATACTATTTTTACTGCCACACTAATAAACCTGTTAAAAAAGTTGAAAAAATATTAATAAAAATTAAAAACAATGACACATTTTACAATTTTAATTCAGCGAAAATTCTTTTCATATATATTTATGTTATCGTTGTAACTTGTAATATATCTTGGTGATCAAGTACAAAATTAAACGCCGCATTATTTTTTACAAATCCAGGTGTTTAAACACCTTGATTAAAAGCGAATTTATTTAATTATTCTATGCAAAATCTTATTTAAATTTTCCGGCATTTTACTTAACTTTTGAAAATTAAATTTATTAAAATTTAGTTTTTTTTATGTTAATTCCTAATCAAAAATTTGTTCCAATGAGCTTGTCTAAAGTTTTGTACGAAACACGAAGTTTAGATAGAAGCGGTAACAAGGTCGGAGAAATTAGTTTTTGCAGTGTTGGTGATGTTGATGTGAATGGTGGTGCGTTCAATTTTACCAACTTTTCCGCTCAAAGTAGGGAATATGTTGCATCAATTTAGTTCAATATAATTTATAATATAATATAAATAATCATTATGCAATTGAATTTTTTTAATTAACACTTTAACAGTTAACGTCGTTAATCAAGCTTTTTAAAATTAAACTGAATATGACTACATGTACAATGTTACATGTAGAAAAAACAAGACAAGTACTTTCTTTCATACTAAGAACTTAGTTCAGTAATTTAGTGAAACCAGCTTTAGTTAGTTGGGAACAACATAAAAGCTGCAAATGAAAGAACAACAGCTCTTTTAATAATCCGTTGCATTATGCCACCAAGTTAAAAAAAGCATTGAATCTTAATTTGTCACTAAAATGATTAATCTGCAATTCTCAATCCCATATGCGCTCTTAAGAATTCATTTAAATACTAGATTACTAGATTTTTTTTATTTGAGAAATTTGTTTAAAAAATAAGGATAGTACCACCATTTAAAAAAAACGCACACATACACACACATACACACACACACACAGACTCCCAATTCAGAGCCACCTATCTATGGAATGACCTAATTGATCATTTCAAGACGAACATCCCCACAAAAAATCATCGTTTGAAATTGAAACAGTTCGAATCCTGTTTCACAGGCAGTGAGGCCGTTTCGCTCGTGTACAATTATCTCCTGGCAGAGAAAGACAAATTCGCAACTGGCAACAAAACCATTCAAAGAGAGAATGCTGTCAAAGTAATTACTTATTTTTTTATTTTTAATAATATTATATTATTGTTGTTGTTCATATTATTATTATTTTTATTATTGTTTTTCATACAAATAGTTGTGCAGTTTGCTGGTTAGATCACATGTTTTTGAGTCAGTAAGAACGTCATCGTCGTCATCATCCTTTGTAGATAGCAATACAAATCTATACAGGGTTAGGTTCTATTATAATTTTTTTATTACTAATATTACTGTTGTTGTTGTGGTTGTTGTAAATTGAAATGTAATTGCACTTGGTTACAAGTTTTGTAGTCTAGGCTTTATCATTGATTCTAGCATGTCCCTTTCTTCTCAGTTTAATAGTGTTGCTAGCAATTCTTACTTTCATCTACGTAGAATAAAAAAACTTTTGCCTTTTTTTGACGATCCTACATTTTTCCTTCTTGTTACTTCGTTAGTTTTATCTAGGATTGATTATTGTAACTCGCTCTACTCTGGTCTTGCTGATTCTACACTCTATCCTTTATTATTTAACGCGATAATCGATTAAAATTTGAGTTCTCCTGCTATATTTTTGACTAGACACTCTGCAGATTATTGTTGTTATCATTGTTGTTATTTGTATTATTATATTTTCAGATTGCAAACAAAGATACAATGCCTTGGTTTGACCAGTTGGGCTATATTAGTTCAAGGAACTATAATAATATTAACAACATTAACACCAACAACAACAACAATACCAATAATAATCTTAATAATAATAATAATATTACCAAAAATAATAACAATATCAGTAAGAGTAATAATAACATTTGTAATGTCTTTACAAAGCCTAAAAGTACCATTCTTAAAACCAAAATTGAGCACAATAACAGTAACGACGATAAAGTTACTACTACTACTGCTACTGCTACTACTACTACTACTACTACTACTACTAATAATAATAATAATAAGTTCAAAGCTCAGACAGAAATTTTACCAAAAAAGAATAAATACTTTTTCTTTGGTTTCAACAAGAAAGCAGCAGACTGCAACTCTATTATCGCCCGTCGTCGATTAGTCAATGCCGGAAGTCGTGATAATGCTACTGGGGTATTTAGTGAAAATAGGTATGTGCGGAAGTTTTATGACGAGAGTTCTGACGACGACGCTGATGACAATCGTCACCGAGATAATGCTAAATTTAAGTCTCCAGATACGTTAGTTGGGGGGGTTTTGTATCATTTTTAGATAATAATAATTATTATTATTATTTATTATTATTATTATTTATTTTTATTGATGATGATGATGCTGATGATGATGATGTTGTTGATGATGATGATGACGATGATGGTGATGATGATGTTGTTATCTTCATTGTTATTATATAGCAGGGTATTCAATGACGTCAATATACTGTCGTCGTCATCATCAACATCATCAACAACAACAACATCGTCATCATCGCAGTTTACTACAATATCAACGACAGAAACATCGATAACAATGACGTCATCATCATCATCGTCGCCATCTTTATCATCAGCATCATCGTCAGTAACAACAACAACAAGATCTTCATCATCCTCTCAAGTCATCTTCACTTTACCACCACCATCAGCTTCTTCACCAGCAGCAGCTACTACAACGTCATCGTCAAAAGTTATAACGCCCAACTTAATTTCATCCTCCTTATCATCATCATCTTCATCGTCGTCATCATCGCCGCCATCGTTTTTCGCCTCATCATCATCATCGTCGTCGTCATCATCGTCGTCGTCGTCTTCTTTGATATCATTGGACATGGCTCTCTTACTGAATGGCAACAACATCAATAACAATAATAATAACAATAATAATAATAACAATATTAATAATAACAATATCAATAATTGTAATTATTATTATAATAATTATAATAATAATAAGATTGACTACAACAACATTAACGGGAATCAAATGAAAAGAATGAGCCTGTCACCTTGTGAAATGTACATCAACGCTAAAATTGCGAAGATAAAAACTGATATTTACAACAACAACAACAACAAAAATAATAATAATAACAATAATAATGATAACAGCGATGATGGTGTAACGATGAAAAGATTTATGTTGAGTAAGCTGCTATCCCTGGTTGATATCCCCTTTCTAGAAGACATCATCGAGTATATCGAGTCATCATCGTCGTCGTCGAAAAAATCATCATTATCATCATTTTCGGCAGCATCTTCTTCTTCTTCATCATCATCTTCATCATCATCGTCGTCGTCATCTTCTTCATATCTCAATTTTATAAACGAAAAGTGCTTTGAACATAACGTTTATCATCTTTTCAATAATAACAACAACAACAAAAATAATAATATTAAGGACAACAATAATAATAATAATATCAGTAAATGCGACAAATGTTGGCTCTACGCATGCTCAATGCTTCTCAAGCACATCCCTACTGGCCGTCAGGTTTACACGGACTGCCTGGCTCACCTTCAATTTGCTTCTAATGAGAATACTACTGCTATTAATAATAATGCTGTTAGAACAAATAACGATTATGATGGTAATGATAATAATAAAATTATTAATAATAATAATAAGCATAATATTAATAATAATAATAATTTTTACATCAGTAATCGTCATCATAATTATCATCGTCGTCGTCGTCATCGCCATCATCCTTACGACGTAGCCAACCAAACCCACAACAACAACAACAACAACAACAACAACAACAACAACAACAACAACAATAATAATAATAATAGTAATAATAACAACAACAACAATAATAATAAATTTATAAGCAACAATTTTAGAAGGTTCTCATCATTTTATAAATCTTTATCAAAGCATAATAGTATGTACAGCGTTGAAATGGCCAATAATAATAATAATAATAATAATAATAATAATAATAATAATAATAATAACAACAACAATAATAATAATAATAATAACAATAATAATAATAATAAATATCATAGCAATTGCATCGTTGAATATGATATTATTAATAGTAATAGTCTTAGTAGTAGCGATAGTAATATTTACTGTATTAAAAGTGGTAGTAATAGTAGTAGCAGCAGCAGTGGTGGTAGTAGTAGTAGCAGCAGCAGTGGTGGTAGTAGTAGTAGTAGTTGTAGTAGTAGTGGTAGTAGTAGTTGTAGTAGTAGTAGTAGTAGTAGTAGTAGTAGTAGTAGTAGTAGTAGTAGTAGTAGTAACAATAATAATAAAAATAATAGTTTATGCGGTAATGGTTGGGGTTTTACCGATATTGACATGAGGAAATATGTGATAAAGAATAATAATAATAATAATAATAATAATAATAATAATAATAATAATAAGATTATTATTAACAATAATATCTACAACAACAACAAAAATATTATTGGCAATAATATTGCAGCCACCAAGCACAACACAAGCCGTCATCAACAACAACAACACAACTACAAACTTAATAATTCATCAAAATCAGCCATCTTCACAACCGTTCTGCAGGCCGTTAAAAAAAATTCCCTAACTTTTCTAATTTTCCCTGATCAGTTCAAACTCGTGGTACCCCAAATTAACCAACTCCTGAATAGAAATGATAAAAGCAGGGCGATAATAGCCGTCAAACTTGTGGCCAGGCTAATGAAGAAAGAAGATAGAAACTATTTTAAATGTTTTTTGATCTTTGCTAAATTATCCATGCTTGATGAAGAGTTGGTTTATTATCGCCATAGTAACGATGATAAGGATAGTAGTAGTAGTAGTAGTAGTAGTAGCAGCAGCAGTAGTAGTAGTAGCAGCAGCAGCAGCAGCAGTAGTAGTAGTAGAAGTATTGGTAGTAGTAGTTATATTGAAACCAATACTACTAATCATACTATAATTCAACAAACAAAAACAACTACTTCAGATGCTACTACTATTACCAATAATAATAATAATAATAATAATAATAATAATTTAGTGGCAAGTTTACTAACCTCCGAACAGATGAAGTTACTTGAATTTATCATGAATAATATGGCGTCAATATTTAATAATGGTAATGATGATGATGACGCTTTTTTCAGCAAAAGTAGTAGTGGTAGTAGTAGCAGCAGCAAAAGTAGTAGTGGTAGTAGTAGTAGTTGCAGCAGCAGTTGCAGTAAGAGTAGTAGCAGCAATGGTAGAGGCAGCAAAAGTGGTGATAGTAGTATCGACGATGTGGTTCCGATATTAAGTAAGTTTGTATGAATTTTCTATAAATTGTATTTTGGTGTATTCAATTGTATTGATACAGCTAATTGAATACACACATACATACACATAGGCGTACACACACACACATATATACATACCCATACATATACATCGCTCATCGGTAGCACGTGCAGGCCACATTTTGATTTGCTCCGTATTTTTTCTTAATTTCATAGTTTAAAATCGAGTATTTAGTTTAAATTTTATTTCATTTGATAGAGAAAATTTTGACGAATATTTATATATATTTTTTCTCCGTTTAAAAGTTTAATTTAGTGCTGTTTTTGCTGTTTTTTTTCGTTTCGGAACTCACCCGGACAACGAACAACACAACAATCAAATTAATATGGCTTCAAAATGTACGAAAACAAAATGTGTGAAATCAGGAAAAGAAAATTTGCAATGCATTCAATGTTTTCAGTGCGAAAATAGTTTTCACATAAAATGTGTTGGTTTGAGTGATGAAGCTTTTGAAGTGACACGTGGTTTCGATAGTTTTAAATGGTTTTGTGATATTTGTCTGAAGAAGTTATGTAATGTTAAAACTCTCTCTAAAATAGTCAGTGACAACATGATGAAATCAACTTAAAAGTCGAAAAAATTAACGAAATGAACGGTTTGCTAAAAAATGAACTTAAATTGATAAAAGAGATGTTGAACAGTAACAGTGCAAAATTAGATAGCCTTGATAGGCCTGATAGCAAGTTATCTGCCGAGATCAGCACATTCAAAAGTGATTTGAAATCTTCTTTTGCTACTGTTGTTGCCCAAGAAGTGAAGAAAAACATTGAGTGTGTCAATCTGGAAGTTAAAACGGTTAAAAGAAAATTAACTGATAATTTAATTTAAAGAAAATTAATTGATATAAAAGACAGAGAAAGAAATATAATAATTTTCAATTTACAAGAAGGTGAAGATGATAAAATTCGTGTTAAAAATATTTTGTTAAAATTGTCTGATGATATAAAAGATTCACATATAAAATATGTTACAAGACTTGGAAAGAAAAATGAATCATCCACACGTCCAATATTGATAGTGTTGGATAGTTTGATGTCTAAAGAGACCGTGATGAAAAATGCACACAAATTGAAATTAATGTCGGTCGAACTGAGTAAAGTCTGGATCAGCAATGATCTGACACCTGAGCAGAGAAGTGAATTAAAGAAACTGGTAGCTGATGCAAAATCGAAAGAAGCGGCATGCAAAGACAATTTTTTATACAGAGTCAGAGGTCCTGTGGGAAGATGGCGGATTGTGAAGTTCAGAAATTAACTGATGAGGGTGTTGTTGACTGAAGGGCTAGTCGGAGGATGATTCATGCTACAGCTCAAAAAGTAACCATGAAAAATTACAATGATTTAAAAATTGGCCTGGGGCTCCTCAACATAAGATCTATAATGTCAAAATATGAAATGGTGTGTGATATAATTCGTGGAGAATTGGATATTCTTGTATTAACTGAAACATGGCATGGGTCGTCAGATGAGTTTGCTGTTCGATGCGCGATGCCCCCTGGTTATAAGTTTGTAGATTACGTCAGACCTCACGATCCATATCATGGCGGAATTATAATTTATTTCAAGAAAGAGTTCATTTATAAACCTGTTGAGTTACCCGCCGTGATAACTTTTGAAGCTGTTGCAATTAAATTGAGAGTAAACAAACAATCTGATTTTATTTTTTTATCAATTTATAGACCTGGATCGGTTCCTCCTTCACCATCGTTCTTTTCAGAGCTAGCAAATGTTTTAGAAGTTTTATCTCTGTTAAGTGATAAAATCGTTTTTGCGGGAGATTTTAATGTTCATATGGAGAGAAAAGATGATCCAAACACAGTCTCACTGAATGAGGTTTTCGATTGTTTTCAGTTGGTTAACAGGATTAACGAACCAACGCATGAATTAGGTGGTGTTTTGGACTTGATCGTTACTTCTCGCTCTTTTCCTATCTTTAATAGTTTGATTTTTCCCAGTGGAGTGTTATCAGATCATGGATTAATCCAGGTTTGTTTGTCAATCAATCAAGTTATAGGTACGAGAAGTAAAAAAATGGTTCGATCCTGGCGACGCATAAATGAAGAAAATCTCGCATTGTTAATTTCGAAATCTCCGATTGGAGGGCCATGCCAAGATGATAATATAGAAACGCTGGTAGAGATTTTTGTGAATGAACTGCGGACATAATAGCTCCAGAACACGTGGTTGAAAATCGAGATGATTCGTTGACGCCGTGGTTTGATGGAGATTGTTCAAAGTCCAAGGCATACTGTAGAAAAATGGAAAGAAAGTACAGAAAGACTTTAAATCATCACGATAGGGAGGTGTGGAAAAATGCTCTGCGATCAAAAAATATTTTATTCGCCCAGAAAAAAAATTTGTTTTGGAAAAAAATCATTTTTGAAAATAACAAAAATCCTAAAAAAATTTGGACTGTGGTAAATAAACTGTTGTGCAAAGAAAAAACTTCAAATTCATCTACCAATTTTGAAGCGAACGATTTTGCTACATTATTTTATGACAAAATTAAAAATGTACGTGAATCGATGGTGTATGATGAGAAGTTTAATCATTCATCTGGTGTCTGCTGCAGCAACTTGTTTTCAGTTTTTCCTGTTTATGACGAAAGCGAAATTGTTGAAGCAGTTTTGAACTCTCCATCTAAAACATGTTCACTGGATTGTGTTCCTTCACACTTTTTCAAAAAATATGTAGGATTGTTTTCAAAATATTTGACTGATCTTATAAACTTATGTTTACGTACTGGAGAGTTTCCGGCTATGTTAAAGCATGCTACAATTTCTCCTCTTTTGAAAAAGGAAAAATTAGACAATTCTGATCTTAATAATTATAGACCGGTTTCAAATCTGTCGTTCTTGTCAAAATTAATTGAAAGATTAGTTTCTAAGAAGCTTATGAAACACTTAGATAAAAACAATTTGTTACCGGTATATCAGTCAGGCTATAGACGACATCATTCTACCGAAACTGCTTTGTTGCATGTGTTATCTAAGTTGCATGAAAATATAAACAACAGTAAACCATCTCTTCTTGGATTCTTAGATATGAGTTCGGCATTTGACTGTGTTGACCATTGCATTCTTCTGAAACGTCTTAATCATAGATTTGGAATAACTGGCTCTGTCGAACAATGGTTTCGGTCGTACTTAACAAACAGAACTCAGCAGGTAATCTACAAGAATAAGACCTCTTCGGTTCAAACGATAAGATTTGGTGTTCCACAGGGCTCGGTTCTTGGACCGATCTTGTTTATTCTTTACGCCTCTGAAATTATTGAGGCGATCGGATTACATGGTTTGGAGTGCCATGCATTTGCAGATGATATTTAGCTATTCGCCACAGAATCCTATAGCAACTTTCATCTTGCAGTTGATCGTTTTGTTAAATGTTTGGTCGAGATCGAGAAATGGATGGCAAATAATCGTCTTAAGCTCAATCAAAGTAAGACGCAAATTTTTCTGGTTGGAACTTGGCAACAGCTGTCTAGAATTAAAATTAATTCAGTTATCATTGAGGGCTCAAATATAAACTTCATTCCCAAAGCTACAAACTTGGGTGTCATTTTTGATTCTAGACTGGCAATGACTGAACATATCAAGTTTTTATCTGGTACTGCAACCCTACAACTGCGAAAATTAAAAATAATCCGCAAAAGCTTAACCAAAGATGTTATTCAAAGTTTAGTGCATTTGTTTATTCATTCTAGACTGGATTACAGCAACAGCCTATTTTATGGTTTGCCTGAAAAATCGTTATCTGTGCTTCAGTCAATTCAGAATCGGGCAGCTAAGATCATAGTTGGTGCGAAAAAGTTTGACCATGTCACCCCGATATTCAGAGAACTGCACTGGTTGATGGTCAAAAAAAGAATTTTGTTAAAAATATCAACAATCATGTTCAAATGTATGAAGGGAATGGCGCCAGTTTATTTGAAAGAAATGCATGCACCGAAACAACTGTCTTTTAAAAATGTCTGCTTAAGGTCTGATGATAGCAACTTGTTATGTGTGCCCCAAACCAACTTGAAAATGGCTGAGAGAAGTTTTTCAGTATGTGGACCAGCCGTTTGGAATAGTCTACCAAGTCATCTAAGACAGCCCGAACTGACAGAAAAATTGTTCAAGAAATTATTGAAATCATTTTTGTTTTCATTATAAGATTTGGTTTATCGTAGCAATTCAAATGTTTTTTTTAGACAGTGCTTTTGAGAAACATTTTGTTTGTAATTAGCGCTATACAAATTTTCGAATAATAATAATAATAATAATACCCACACATACATACACATACATACACATAGACGTACACACACACACATACATACATACACACACAGGTACCGCATGCCGAAGAATACCGACCAGAGAGTACCGACGAGATAACGAGCGGTATACAAATACGTCCCTGGTATCTTTAATGAACCACGTAATAGATAGCGTCGACATAACGTTGGAAAAAAAGAAGCAAATTCTGAAGCGATTTTCCAGACATCATAAACACCTCTATGATCAACATTTTGGAGGATTGGTGTAATTTTTGGGGTAAATTTTAGTGGTAAATTAATAGAATTATGGTGAAATTGATGTATACTACTCATTTAGTAAATCTGCTGGTATGGTCTAGTGCTAATTCGAGGCAAAATTAGATCGTATTTTGGGGCGAATGTGGATGTAACAATACAAATCCGGTGAATTCTTTAACAAGATTTGAGATAAAAGAATGGTAAATTTAGTTATAATAGCGGCAAATCAGTAAAGGTCTTTGTAAATTTTATTGCAAGCTTCAACTCTACCGGTAAGAAGTTGGGTGAACTTAGGAAACAGAAAATGTAAATTTACTCGTGAGCATGACGGCAGAAGGCTCAAACTAATCTTACTGGTAAAAATAAAAAGCCTCGTTGAAATTTTGGCAATACACGCTAGCATGTGTTTTGGTAGATTGTCTGGTAGATTCTGGTAGATAAAGTACTAACCATCTCAGGCCATTCGTTCGTTCTTGCTAGTTTTAGTATTATTTTAACTTCATTGTTGTATTCTAAATGAGAACACTTACGTTAATTTCGTTCATTTAATTTTTTATTTGGAAAATATGTGAAATACTCAAACACACAAACACGCACACAAACACACACACACACACGCACACACACAAACATATATGTATATATATATATATATATATATATATATATATATATATAGTATTGTATAAATTCCACTGATTTGTTGGCATTAATCAATTTAAAGTTTGTCTTTCAATTTTCCTTACTAGAATTTTCTGGAAATTGTTTAATTTGTTGAAAATTAATATTGGTAGTACTATTATAAAAAGTATTATTATCATCATTAATATTATTATTATTGTTTTTATCGTTTTTATCACTGCTATTTTATTAATATTATTATTATTGTTGTTTTTACTCTAGCACGTTCTATTTCCTTCACTTCTCTTTAAATTAATGCCTGGAATTTTCGATCAGATCTCCATTTTTTGTTGATATAACGCAATGATAATAAAAAAAATAAATAAATAGATAATAACAACAATAATTATGCGACAGCATGTTTAGTTCGAGTTATGCTACTTCTTCGATGACTTACCATTGCTTAAATTAAAGGGATTGTGACTTGTGATTGGTTACTCCTATGTAGGATGACATGCGATTGGTTGAATAAAGACTCAGATTGGTTGAATAAAGACTCAGAGCCTTAAGTTAGTAGAGGAAAAATGTAACACCAAAACAGTTTTAATTTTGTTGGTAATCTGATTTCACTGATTTCAAAATAAAAAAAAAACATCCTCACTAACTCGTTACAAACCACTTAATTCAATCAAACAAAACAAAAAAGCATGAATGATTCGGAGACCAAAAAAATAAAATTAATTCTTGTGAGCTCGGCAACCGTACAACTCAAAATAGCTTCTCAATGATAACACAACGAGAATAAATTAGAATAATAATAAAAAAAAATTGTCAATAGGAAAAAATGTATCAATGTTAATGAAACAAACAGTCCAACAGAAAAGAAATGTCATACAGTAGTAAATAAAAATTACAACAAATTCTCTCTAGAAACTTCTGATTTTGTTGTTGATGTCGGCTGTCAAACAGAAAAAATGTCATATAATAAATAAAAATTACAACAAATTCCCTCTAGAAACTTCTGATGTTGTTGTTGATGTCGGCTGATGTCGTTGTTGATGTCTGCTGTTGTTGTTGTTGATGTCTGCTGTTGATGTTGTGTGAATGAATGAATGAATATTTGCAAAATACTTACAAAAAAATTTAATTATAAAATACTTAAATAGTATTCAAATGCTCGGATTTATTCATTCATCAGTTCATTCATTCCATTCATTCATTCATTCATTCATTCATTCATACATACAAAAATGATTCTTACGAAATGATAGATCACAGCCCGTGTTGGTGACGAAGGTCATTTAGACTTCGGGCGAGGTCTTCCTCTGCGATGTTGTAATGTCTGTAAAAAATGTCAATAAAACCTCCTACTGATTAATTAGGGTCAATTAAACTATCACTAATTAATTAATTATCACTAGGCTGCTTGGAGTGAACAGCACGGACAAACATTGTGCATGAATGGATACGTGCTAAGTGACGCACCATAGGCAAGCATCTTTTGTTTGACGTATGATGGAATCGAGCCCGGTCAGTGCAAAGCAGCAGCAGGCCACCATAATCACTAGGCCAAGTGGCCAGATAAAGCTGTTTTTACAAAAGCGATGATTTGGCTCTAGCCAAATTAGCAAAAAAGATTTTCTAGTGTATTGATGAAATATCTTCATTCGATAATAACCTTCGCATACCGGCCATGATCCTCCACTTGTCCTTGATCTGACCGGCCGTTCTATTCGGGAGGATGCCCGAATCCGCTATCTCTTTCCACCTGTTTTTTTTTTATTCTTCAAAAAATTAAAATCGAACCGACGCAGAAACTGTAACATTATTACAATATTTTCATTCATTCATTCGTTTGTTCGTTCGTTCGTTCATTCATTTATCCATCCATCCATCCATTCATCCATCCATTCATCCATCCATCCATTCATTCATCCATTCATTCATCCATTCATTCATTCATCCATCCATTCATTCATTCATACCTCCCGATCCCATAGATATCAATCGCTTGAAGGAGATTTCGCTCTTCATCCTTCGTCCAGGGGACTTTGTATGGAGGCGCCCTCCCTGCAGCACGTTGTGGTAGAGCTGCTGCACCACGGGGGGCTACTAAATGAATTATTTATAATTATTATTACACACATACACACCACACACACCGCACACACACACACAACTTTCAAAAATAAATCGAACGCCTATACTTTGATCTAGATCATCAAGATCATTGAGACTAGCGGATCTTCGCTGTAAAAAATGGAAAAATGCCATTAAGAATGGAAACTAAGGAATTAATATCGGTTAATATTTTAAAAAATGTTGACATTGAAAAGAACAAATGTTTTATTAACTCTGGCAGGCCGTGGCTGGACAGGGGCAGGTTGGAAGGGGTGTGCTTGGGGCTGGAAAACATCCTCGTCGTCTTCCTCCCCGACGTGTCTTGGTTGTTGATGTTGTAGTGGTTGTTGTTGCCGTAATTGTTGTTGCTGTAATTGTTGTTGTGGTTGTTGTAGTTGTTGTAGTAGTTGTTGTTGATGTTGTTGTGGTTGTTGTTGTAGTTGTTGTTGTGGTTGTTGTTGTGGTTGTTGCTGTGGTTGTTGCTGTGGTTGTTGTTGTAGTTGTAGTAGTAGTAGTTGTTGTTGTTGCTGCTGTTGCTGTATTTGTTGTAGTTGTTGTTGTAGTTGTTGTTGTTGTAGCTGTTGTTGTTGTAGTTGTTGTTGTTGTTGCTGCTGCTGTTGTTGTATTTGTTGTTGTAGTAGTTGTTGTTGCTGTTGTTGCTGTAGTATTTGTTGTTGCTGCTGTTGTAGTTGTTGTTGTTGTGGTTGTTGTTGTTGAAGCTGTTGGGTGAGGTAGCCGAAGACGGATATGATCGTTCGAACATCCGAACTAAATTTAATTTAATAATATAAACGATAATAATAATATTTCATAATTTTATATTATTACTTTAAAATTATTGTTATTTAAATATTTTTATTTGAAATAAATTATTTAAAATTAATTTAAATAAATTTGTACTAACACGTTAAACACATTTGGGTCGTTGTTGTTATTTGCCATGACGCTGAAAAATTAATAATAATATTATTAATATTATTATTATTATTATTACTACTATTACTATTGCCATTACTATTCCTATTATTATTATATTATCATTATTATTATTATTATTATTATAATTATTATTAATATTATAATTATTATTATTATAATTATTATTATTATCATTCCTTGCTAAGACAACAACAATGACAGAGTTTGAAGAAAAGAAATGAGTGAAGCCGTCACAAGAACAATAAATGCAATGAAAACAATTAAAAAATTATTATTATTATTATTATCATTATTATTATTTATTATTATTATTATTGCTATTATTATTATTGCTATTATTCCTTGTTAATACAGCAAAAACGAGCAAGACATGAAAGCTCTAAATTTAAATGAAATGGATACAAATGATCGTCTAATTTGGCGCAAAAAGTTGATGGCAAAGAGAACAACGTCCTACCTCGGAAAACCAGGTCTCTGGACGCAAAACGAAGATTGATTGATTGATTGATTGAATACAGCAAAAACGACAGAGTTTGAAGAGATAAGCCGTCAGCAGAGCAATAAATCAATATAATAATTACATACCCTTCTAGCAGCAAGTTTCCATAGGAGAAAAGAGGCAGAACACGAAAACCTAACGTGAAATGAACTAGACGTGAAATGAACCAGTTTAAATAGTATCGTACAGCAGCACAACAACCCAGCAACAAGACAAGGATTTCTTACTGAATTAATTTTCTTTTCACACAATCTAACTTGCTAACCGGTTTGGATACGCTGAGTCCGATTATGATGAAAAAATTGGCACATGGTTTTTGGTAAGGAAATGTTTTTACATATTTTGTGTTAGCACACTAGTTGGTTTTTGTTCGAATTCACTGAAGGGATTGTCAAACAGATTTTAAACTGTTAGCTGACATTTTAAAACAGTCATATTATTTGTGTGTGAATCTTAATACTTGGAAAAAATAAATCATTAATAAACTTTACTAAATATATATAATGATATTTAATGTTTTATTTAACCCCCAAAAATGGATATTTTAAGATGGATGTTATACATATCTATGACTTTCGTTTTGAACTATTGCACTTAAATGAACCTTATGATTCATTTGTGTGAGCTTTATTTCAAATTTTGGTGGTTTATTTAATTAAAGTTTTATTTCAAAACGAACGATACTTGTTTTGATGAATTTTTTAAAATCTTCTAAACGGAATATATAAGTCATTATATTATTAATTGTTTATTTATTATTAAGTAATAATTAGTAAATTAATTAATTAATCAATCAATCAATCGACAATCATGACTTCAAACTTCAACAACAATGAAACTTTGAAAATTGTTAATATTATAATGAATGGATGAACAATTTTCAAAATAAAATAAAAATATTTTTATCACATATTTAGCATTTATTTACAAAAAAAAGACGAAAATTACATCAGAGATAATTATTTATTTATCATAAAAATCTCAGTCAACAAACGACTAACAAACAAAAAATGCTACGTGACGATTCCAATGTATTTACAACAAAGTACCACAATACACACCAATACAAAACAATACCAAACAACAATACAAAACAATACCGAAACAACAATACAAACCAATACCGAAACAACAATACAAACCAATACCGAAACAACAATACACACCAATACCACAACAACAATACAAAACAATACAGAAACAACAATACAAACCAATAGCGAAACAACAATGCAAACCAATACCGAAGCAACAATACAAATCAATACCGAAACAACAATACAAAGCAATACCGAAACACCAATATAAACCAATACCACAACAACAATACACACCAATACCACAACAACAATACAAAACAATACAGAAACAACAATACAAACCAATAGCGAAACAACAATACAAACCAATACCGAAACAACAATACAAATCAATACCGAAACAACAATACAAAGCAATACCGAAACAACAATATAAACCAATACCACAACAACAATACACACCAATACCACAACAACAATACAAAACAATACAGAAACAACAATACAAACCAATAGCGAAACAACAATACAAACCAATACCGAAACAACAATACAAATCAATACCGAAACAACAATACAAAGCAATACCGAAACAACAATATAAACCAATACCACAACAACAATACAAAGCAATACCACAACAACCCTAGTGATAAGTATGATTATAGAAAACAGTAGTCGTAGTAGCGTTAGAATAGTCTTTATGCTTGAATGTCTTGTTGTTCAGATCCAACATGAACGTTATCCAGGTATTCAAGAAGATGTGTAACATAACCTGGCATATCACACTTGCAACTGACCCTATCTTAATCTATGTTGTAGTGATATGTAAAAAAAGTTATAACAAGTAGCTATTAAGTAAAAATAATTATTAATACTTAATTAATCTTTCAAATACTACTATTACCACTAATATTACGACCGCCACTGCTACTACCACTACTACTGCAGTTGCTGCTACTGCTACTACCACTACTACTGCAGTTGCTGCTACTGCTACTACTAATACTACTGCTCGAATTGCAACAGTTTCTACTACTAAGGTATGTGGGCGCCGGGAAACTGTAACGGTGCTAAGACGCTCTGATGCAGTGACTGAATTCGGATGGGAATTATTAACTTTAATAATAAGAAGACGAAAATGAAGGATGAAAGTCCAATAAACAAACCATCTCCAGGACGTGCATCTTGCCGAAGGTGTAGGCGATTGTGTTCGGTGGAGTGCCAACTGGTAGCATGAAGGCGAATGAACATGCGAAACATATTGGCGCCATTAAGTATAAGGGGTTCATGTTCAATGAGTCGGCCTGTGATTGGTTGGTTGGTTGGATGGATGGTTAGATGGTTGGTTGGTTGGTTGGATGGTTAGATGGTTGGTCGATTGGTCAGTCAGATTTGAAAAAAACCACAATTTTCAACCACCATCAGCTTTCACCAAATATTTTATCTCGAATGACCACTTGAGCATAATTCTCGGTCCCATCAACAACACAAATGTACAAAAATTAGTTTCACCAATTTAATTTTAAAAACCAATTTAGCAACGATTGGGATGTAGATGGTGGCTGTGGCTACGTTGCTGGCGATTTCAGTGGTGAGGCAGGTAGCCAGGCAGAGCACCATAACCATGAAAAATGGTGGTAAGCTTTTTAGGTGGGTGAAACTTGAGGCGATCGCTTCGTCCAGTTTTGAGTCCTAGTGGTCAGTTTTACCGTCGTTAGAGGTCGTTAACACCATCAACCTAGTCACCATCATTATCATCGTTGCATCATCATTCGCATCCCCACAAATATCATAATCATCACTTTCATCACCATCATCATTATCATGATCACCCTGATAGATTTGGCGAGGGCGAAACCCCCGCCGAGGAGAAACAAAATATCCCAAGGCATCTTGGTGACGAAGGTCTTCCAATCAATGAGTGGCGGTACGGCGGTGCGAAATTTAAACGGTCGACCTTTTATTAAATTATTTTTTGCCCTTTCAAACAACCAATCAATCAGCCAATCATCCAATCAAGCAACCAACCAATCCACCAGCCAACCAACCAATCAACCAAGCAGCCAACCAATCAACTAACCAACTAACCAACCAACCAACTAACCAACCAACCAACCAACCAGCCAACCAACCAACCAACCTACCTACCAACCAATCTATCATCATTAACATTAAAATCATATTTAAGCATCATCAACGTCGTCGCCCTCAATTTAATCACCATCATCATATTCATCATCATCATCATTGTTATCAGCAACAACGACATCATCAGTGGCAACAGCAGCCGCAGCAGTAGCAGCAATAGCAGCAGCATCATGTTGACGACCTTTGTTCTTTTTGTATCTTTCGCAGAAACTTCTAGACGGAAAGATGAAGAGTAAGAATGCGATGAGAAGTGATGCCTGGGTATCGCTGATGTACCTTGGGTATTTGTGTATTTTTAGGTACTTGTATGTATGCGTGTACGTATGTTTGCATCCTTGTGTGCGTGTGTGTGTGTGTGTGTCCGCGCGCGTGTATGTGGTGTGTATGTGTGTGTGTGTCTAATAGTGCTTGCAGACTTGAGTTTTTGTGCTATTGTAATTCTAAAGTACCTAACTTCAATTATTTCTTTTTATGTACGTTCGTATGTTTGAATCGGATTGTATGTTCCTCTACTAGTGTTACTACTACTACTACTACAACAACTACTACTACTACTACAACTACTACTACTACTACAACTACTACAACTACTACTACTACTACTACTACTATAACTACTACTACTACTTTGGTTTAAAAAAAATTCCCCATCCATTGACGAATCCTGGCTCTCGAGATATCCACAGGAAGATGAGGATGATGAAGAGGGTGGATACACTCTTTTCAGCGTGCCTGCCGGATAGATGGATGAATGAATGAATGAATGAATGGATGGATGGATGGATGGATGGATGTATGGATGGATGGATGGATGGATGGATGGATGGATGGATAGATAGATGGATAGATGGATGGATGGATGGATGGATGGATGGATGGATGGATGGATGGATGGATGGATGGATGGATGGATGGATGGATGGATGGATGGATGGATGGATGGATGGATGGATGGATGGATGGATGAATGGATGGGTGGGTGGATAGATGAATAACTGAATGAATGAATGGATGAATGGATACACGGATAAAAGAATAGAATGATAGACTGATGAATTAAAAGAAGGACGAGTAACCAAATGATACGATACTATCATCCAATCGGAACTCAACCTGGTTAACCGCAATTATTTAAGAGATAAACTAAATTTACATTTTTAACTTCATGATGCTATTTTTATCTCTCATGGAAAAACTCGGACATACAAAAAAAACCGGATACACTAAAAAAAGATCATTTTTAATACTCACGACATGGGGCCTAGCTGGGCGTACTGCTCCTTTATGACCCCTTTGCCACCCATTATCTCCATGAAGGGCGCACCCCGGTTGATGCAAAATATACGGAGAAATTCACTGAGTTGATGAATGAATGGATAGACGGATAAAGGAATTGATGAATTGAGGGATGGATGGATGGATGGATGGATGGATGGATGGATGGATGAATGGATGAATGGATGGGTGGATGGATGGATGAATAGATGATAAAAACAAACCAACATCAACCCCAAAATAATAGCAACAACAACAACAACAGAACAACAGCAGCAGCAACCACAACAACATCTAACAATTTGCCCATATAGAAGTAAACCAGCCACATCCAAATGAAAATGAAGATGATGAGTGACATTGGGAAGGCGAGAAACAGCCATTTGGTAAATGTTAAGACATCTTCGCCCATCAAACTGATCATGATGATGATGGAGATTTTGATGATGATGGGGATGATGATAGTGGTTATACTGATAATGACTATGACGATGATGAAGACGACGAGTAAAATCCGACTTACTCCGCCACCTGAGCTTTCAGTATCAAATTAGGACTGGTGCCAATCAAAGAAGCCACACCCCCAACGTTGGCAGAGTAGGCAGCCCCACAGAGCAAACATTTTGATAGGCTGAGAAGAGGGGCATCTAGATCGTCGTCGTCGTCGTCTATCACTACACTGGTACCGCTAATGCTTTCTGCCTCTCTTTGTGACATTTTATGAATGTTGTCATTGTCTTTATGACGTCATCCTCGTCTACGTCATCATTTTGTTCATATTATTATTAATAATAATAAAATATTGACAACATCATCGTCATCATCATCAGAGAAGTAAGAACTTCTAACTAACTTCAATGCATCGGCTTCTATGTAGTCAAATATGCTTTAATGAAAGAAATGATATTATTATTATTTGTTTTTATTTATTTTTATTACAATTAGATTGAATTAAATAAAATAGTAAAATTTCTGAATACTAATTGGTAGCTACTCAGTGCTTGAACGAATTGAAACGTATAGATCAATGAAGAGGTAGGTGCTAAAGTGTTCCGACTGATGTTGAAACGGACATGAAAAAAATTATGAAAATGTTTTTGTTTCCAGCAAAAAAAAATTAATTAAACCAAAACTGTCAGAACAAAATATCTTTAAAATTGATACGAAATTTATTTTAATTGAAAAAATCAAATGATTCCTACATATCAGCACTCGTCCTTCTAGTATTAGCTTTCATCTTGCCAGCGTTATCATCATCAGTGTACTCATCATCATCGTTTTTGTTATCATCTTTTTCATCTTTCTTAGTTCGTTCCTTTATTTCTTTCTGAAAATTTTGTCGCTGGAGCCAGGCAATTTTTCTTCTTCCTCCATCGTTGTCGTTTATCATATTTTCAACATCATTTTGTGGTGGGATTACGAAATTCCCATCTTTATCCATGTTTTCGGTTATTTCGTGCTGATAGCGAGGACGCTGTCCCACTGTCCTTCCTGGCTCACTCCGAAAAGAAATTTTGAATAACTTTTTAAGAGAACCGTCGGTTGTTACAGACGATTTTCGGAGATAGTTTGAATCGAATAGACTGAATTTTGGGGGTTTTTTGGAAGATTGTTTGATGACCAAATCGTTTTTCACTGCATTCATAAGGTCACTTTGCGTGAGGTCGAAATAAACTTGATCACCTCTTCTTGATCGTTTTCGTTCCTCGTCGAATTTGCTAACTTGGAAAAGAGCCGGTTGAGTTTGGATGTCTTGAAGATTAGTGACCGAAGGCGTTTGCGATCTTTGTCGTTGCTGTAAGATGTGCTGTTGCATGTGAAGCTGCTGTTCCAGCTTCATTTGTCGCTCCTGTAGGGTTTTGCGAAATTTTTCGTCGTCTTTTTTGGTAAAAAGGTTTTTGATTTTCGTGGCGAAAGTTGGTTTTTTTGGTAGTTTTTGGCTTGTTTTGTTTAATTTTTCTGATCTGTTGGACGCTTTACTGTTCCTGCCTTTGTCGTCATTATTGTTGTTGTTGCTGTTGCTGCTGTTATTATTATTGTTGTTAATGTTGTTGTACATGACATCGTTGTTGTTGTTGTCGGTGCAGTTGTTTTTACAACCGTCACCTCTGACGTAACTCAAGACGTCATTAACGCTGTTGCACTGAGAACTTCTTTGCGTACATCGAGTTTCAATATGATCACAATGTTTATAACAACTACCAATACTACTACTTGCACTACTAAGGCTTACATTGCTACGTGTACTAACGCTCTCTGCTCCTATGTTACTGTAATTATTACCTTCTATACTATTTTTATCTCTCAGTTTTTGTTGGCAATCCAGATTAGTGAAAGATGTGGTGTTTGTTTCAGTTGAGGTTATGCCATTTTCAGGAATTTTTTTGCTGGTGTTATTATTCAAAAATTGTACCGGGTATCGTGTGTATTTTATGTTGTTGTTGTTGTTGCTGATGCTGTTGTTGTTTCTGCTGTTGTTTATGTTGATGTTGTTGTTGTTGTTGCTGCTGTTGTTTTTAGTTATGACGTTTTTGATGTCACTGAAAATTTTCTGAAAATTAAAAGAAAAGCAATTGCCAAACAAGCTATAATTTATGTCACGATCGTAATACGGGCAACTACAGCTCTTCATGTCATCGTTACTGCTGTAACTGCTCTTGATGACGCTGTCTTTGTAGTTAAACTCATTAATGCTATTTGTCATCATCATTGTATTAATGTCGTCACAATTAGCATTAGCGCTGTGATTGTGATCTACTGTTGATGTTTCAATGCAGCTTCTGTTAACGCTATTGTAGTTGCTATTTTTGTTAATGCTGTTGTTGTTGTTAATGTTGTCGTTAATGTTAATGTTGTTGTTGTTGATGTTGGTGTTGTTAATGTTGTTTTTGTTGCTGTTAATGTTGGTGTTGTTGTTAATGTTGTCGTTGTTGTTAATGTTGTTGTTAATGCTGTTGTTATTGTAATTCATGTTATTGCCCTTGTTTACTATGTTTTCAGATTTCACTTTCCTGGTGGAAGCATTATCTTCTGACGTCTGGCTGAAGTTCAGAGAACTTGCCCTCTTTCCTTTCTGGCGTATATCAGATGGTGGTAAAGAGACAGATCTGTCATGATTGCATGATTAATAGTGTAATGGTTAAGATGCCTGGCGATATTGCCGTAGTGGCCTGGTTCGAATATTCAAAGAGACTCCAACTTTATCACATTCGAGATCCTATAATGCCTGAGTATATGCGTGTTTAAATAACTTTGTGTGTGTGTGTGTGTGTTTGTTGTTTTTGATACTAATTCTAAACAGACGAACCTAGGCCTGCCATCCGGAAAAGGTTTTTGCACGGCAATTTTCAGTAGCTCTGTACCTATGTTTTGAAGTTTTTTCTTGCGACTATTTTTCAACTGGCCAATGAGAGCCGAGACAAGCGGGACCATCATCGTAGCCGTAGCTGTGTTGTTCATCCACATCGATAAGAACCAACTTGTCGCCATGAAACCGAATGCCACCCTGTAATGTCGTCGTTGTTGTTGGGGGTAGATTTGTTGATGATTGTTTGTTGGTGATTGTTTGTTGGTGGTGGTTTGTTGGTGGTGGTTTGTTGGTGATTGTTTGTTGGTGGTTGTGGTTTTGTTGGTGATTGTTTGTTGGTGGTTGTGGTTTTGTTGGTGATTGTTTGTTGGTGGTGGTTTTGTTGGTGATTTAAAAAAAGATTTTATTGTTTAAATTTTTTTTTCAAAAATAGATCCAAACGACCATCTCGCTGAGGTTCCAACGATGAGAAGAACTGCCATGGCCAGCCTCTTGTGAAGGTTGCATTTCTCAATTGCCACAGCTATTATCAGGCCACCATAAAACATCAGTGAGGAGTCCTGCCATTATTGGTTTATTTGTACGTTTGTTTGTTCGTTCGTTCTTTGGTTTGTTTTTGTCTGTTTGTTCGTTCGTTCGTTTATTATTTTGTTTGTTTGTTCACCTTACCGCCTGAGCTAACCAGACAATGGCGATGATACCATTCTAACCTTGATGTACTCCATTGCAAGTTCTTCGATCTTGACAACGGAGAGGAGAGGCATGAGGATGCACGGCAGGAGGCCAGCCACCGCCAGTGGTAGGGCTTCTGTCGTCCAGTAACTGCACATCCACAACACCACGTATGCACATCTGCCTTTCTGATTGGTTGGTTGGTTGGTTGGTTGGTTGGTTGATTGGTTGGCTGGTTGGTTGGAGAGTTGATTGATTGATTGGTTGTCACGCAAATGTATTTGACTGAAGTAATGGTAGTGTTGGTGTTAAAATTGGTATTAATGAGAAAGATAATTAGAACCGATAATGACGATGGCTTACATTCAGAAATAAAATTACCATTACGTAAATTATCCCAAACCTCCTGAACATACAATATCCAAAACTTACAATGTCTGGATAAAAAATTGGTATTGGTAGGTAGATGAGTGGAAAGAAGAATACCAGAATCATTTTACGGTACAGAAGTATCTCGAGCAGAACCGATCTAAAATATCCCATCGGTATTAAGCTCTGTCTCGGTTGACTCGTATTTGAGTGATTGGATTCCTTTGATACTGTTGTACTGGCTGTTCCAGGCGTAGTTTGTGTTGTTGTGGGGTTTAACCTTGTACGTAGTTGTTTGTTCTGTTTTTGTAGTTTTTCATTGTCTAATATGTGAGAAGCTGCCGCTAAAAATGACGGTGGATTCACTGTTGCTGATTGCGAATTCGGTTGTCGATTTGAAACTTCTTGGTCTCTTGATGAAGTTTGAGTTGCCATTGAGATGAATGAAGGGAACACATCGTGTGAGGCTGTCGATCGTCGTGATAGCTGTTGTTGTGGCTGTTGTAGCTGTTGTGGCTGTTGTGGTTGTTGTGGTTGTTGTTGAGCGTTTGGTTGGTCGGTTAAAGGACTTGTAGTTTTGTTAGCTGAAGTCTGCTTCTCATTCCATAGACCCATTTGGACTTAGGAATCTGACAATTCAATTGATCTCGAGGTAGATGGTGATGCTGTTATAGAAATTTTGTTGTTGTTGTAAGTTTTGCTGTTGTTGTTGTAGTTAATGTTGTCATCGCAGTATATTTTTTATATACGACTCGTTGTTCTGGTTTTATTTGTATATCATTGAAAAGTTGATTTCGTTGGTCTAAATTATTGTTGTTTGTGTTGATGCTTTGTTGTTTGTGTTGATGCTTTGTTGTTCATACTGATGTCTTATTTGATGTTTGTATGTTTTATGTGTTGTTTGTTGTTGTCGGTTGGTTGCTGCTTATGAGTGCGATAGAATTGAAGACAGATAATAATTTTTTAACTTAGGCACCCAATAAATTTACTTTTTACCGATAAAATAAAAAAAAAATCCTGAAATAATCAGCAATAGCCAGGAACAAACTTAATAACAGCTCCTAATTTCTATCTTTTCACATTTATTTTTCAATATTTGAACGAATTATGATGAAAAATTATTTCAATCAAAATAATTATAATACAAATATTAAATATATTATTATTTAGTATTATTATTATTATTACTATTATTACCTTTATTATTATTTATTTTCCATTGTTATTGTTGTGCTCTCACGCGTTTGTTTATGCATGGTAAAACGTTCAAGAATTATTTCCTATCTTATTTATGACCTCCATTATTATTTTATTATTTTTTTTATTATTGTTTTTATTATTATTACAATTATTATTATGCTTATTATTATTATTATTATAATTATTATAATAAAAATAATGAAAACTTTTAAGTGCACGATGTTTGTTATGATTTGAGCTGTCTATTCTCCAATCGACTCTTACAAGCACTTCAACGATTATTATTATTATTATTATTAGTAGTAGTAGTAGTAGTAGTAGTTGTTGTTGTTGTTGTAGTTGTAGTAGTAGTTGTAGTAGTAGTTGTAGTAGTAGTAGTAGAAGTAGTAGTAGTAGTAGTAGTAGTAGGAGTAGTAGTAGTAGTAGTAGTAGTAGTAGTAGTAGTAGTAGTAGTATAGTAGTAGTAGTAATAGCTGCAGTAGCAGCAGTTGTAGTAGTGGTAGTATCATTATTATTGTTGCCGTTTATAAAACACATTAACGAAATCTCTTGACTCTTTAATCTTTTAATCATTAATTAAAATTTAAATTTGTGCAGCAATGACACATATTGGAAAATGAAATCTGATCAAATTATGTAGAATAAAATCATTAAATGGTAATAATTATAATGTATTTAAATGAGATTTAATTTAATCACATGAATTATCGAAAGTTTTATATAATTATATGGAGAATCATCTATGTGCTATATTGTCCATTTAAATAGTTGAATAAAAAAAACAAATTTATTTAATTTAATTCATCTATACTGTTACAAACCGTTACATGTGAATAGATGTTGTTTTTTTTGGAACAGTCATCAAAAGATAAACACTTCACACGCACACTCAAGCACACACACGCACGCACACACACACGCACGTACAAACATACAAACACAAACTTACATACATACAAATCAACACACTCACACAAGCACACACACACACTTACGATCACACTAAAGTCGTTAACAAACTAAAATTACCACCACTGGCATTATAAAGGCCACTTAAACCAGGCCCGATTGTGAATGTTTCCGTGAAGTTCGACGTGCATTTGAAGCCGCAGCCGGCCCAATCGGGGAACTGATCCAAGTTGAAGTAGGCCCTACCCCAGGTGTTGATGGCCAGTTGAAGGGTCAGCAAGCAGACGACGTTTTGTATTATTCCAGCTTTCATCTGGAAATTTCAGCGAGTTGTTATGTTGGATGATCGTCGGAATGATGAAGATGATGATGAAGATTGTGCTGAAGATGATGATGAAGATTGTGATGAAGAAGATGGAGATGCTGAAGATGATGATGAAAATGATGAAGAAGATAACGAAGGAGATAATAAAGATGCTGGCAAAAATAGAGATGACAATGAAGATGATGAAGAAGAAGAATATAATAATATAACACCCATAACAGAAGCACACGGGCTACAAACATACTGCCACACACCGTATAACACCACAACACACCTCGCCACACCACACACCGCCACACCACACCACACAAAACCACACCACACTCCACACCATATCCAGTATCTTCATCTTTCCATAGGCAAACACAATAGCGTTCGGTGGTGTGGCTACAGGCAGCATGAACGCGAATGAAGCTGATATCGTAACGGGCACCATGAGGTAGAGGGGATTGATTGACAGCGTGGTGGCCTGTGTGGTCATAATTATTATATCATCAATTATAATTATATATATATAATATTTAAATAAATATGTTATAATTTATTTAGGGTTGTTAGCAATACTTAGAAATTGTATCGCCAGTACCAAAATCTATAATATCGAAACTCATTTTTGAAAGCATTGCCACAGTAGCAGTACTTGTAGTAGTAGTTGTTGTTGTAGTAGATGCAGTAGTAGTAGTAGTAGTTGTAGTAGTAGTAGTAGTAGTAGTAGTAGTAGTAGTAGTAGTAGTAGTAGCAGAAGTAGTAGTAATAATATTTAATTTGATTATTTTAACTTATTATAAATTATTTTAACTTATTATAAATTATTTTAACTTATTATAAATTATTTTAACTTATTATGAACAATCGAAGGACTCATTAGCTCAACTACAGAAGCGGAAGTGGACGTGGCAACTGACCAGCTGAGCAAGAATGGGCAGGAAGATAGTAGCTGTGGCCACATTGCTCGTCACTTCCGTGAAGCCCGCGGTCAGAGTGCTCAAAATAAATACAAGACCCCACCTGTTGAAAAATGGATGTGATTGATGTGATTGATGTCGTGTCGATGTTGTTGTGGATGTGATTGATGTCATGTCGATGTTGTTGTGGATGTGATTGATGTCACGTTGATGTTGTTGTGGATGTGATTGATGTCATGTCGATGTTGTTGTGGATGTAAGTGATGTCACGTCGATGTTGTTGTGGATGTAAGTGATGTCATGTCGATGTTGTTGTGGATGTAAGTGATGTCACGTCGATGTTGTTGTGGATGTAAGTGATGTCATGTCGATGTTGTTGTGGATGTGATTGATGTCACGTTGATGTTGTTGTGGATGTGATTGATGTCATGTCGATGTTGTTGTGGATGTAAGTGATGTCACGTCGATGTTGTTGTGGATGTAAGTGATGTCACGTCGATGTTGTTGTGGATGTAAGTGATGTCATGTCGATGTTGTTGTGGATGTGATTGATGTCACGTTGATGTTGTTGTGGATGTGATTGATGTCATGTCGATGTTGTTGTGGATGTAAGTGATGTCATGTCGATGTTGTTGTGGATGTGATTGATGTCATTTCGATGTAGTTGTTGATGATTGACAAAAAATTGGTTGTGTCTGTTTGTGAAGGAAGAATGCTTTACACCAGGGCACACTCCAGCCCTATACGAACCTTGGTAGGTAGTTGAGGGAGATGAAAAATTGACCTATGACCTGTGAGAGACCCGATTCCTGTGTTTGAGTGGTTTGTATTTCGGATTTTTTTGCTTTTGTATAAATGTTTGTTTTGTATTATTATTTCTGTAAAATTTTGTTTGCTTGCTAGTTTGTTCATTTGTTTGTAGACTCGTTTGTTCAACATACTTCATGCTAATGTAATAGTTTTTACGTGGTTACATATAATTTAAATTTTCTTCTTAAACAAATATTTAATTGAACTGAAATCTCTTAATCCAGTATGATCGTCATCCATTAGACAACAAACAAACACCAAGAGAGTTAAACACAAACAAACATAAATACGTATAGCCCACAAGCAGACAGCAGACAAATATAATACAATTGAAGATACCAATAAACATAAAATACACATATAAGCAAATACATAAACATACAAACATAGGTATAACAAACAATACAAACATAAAATACAAAATATACAATATACAACACTATATATATATATATATATAAATACAATACACAAATACAAAACATACAATAGAAAAATACACAAATACTTTGCATGCTTCAGCCATGGCGAACCCCCCTCCTAACAGCAATAGAACGTTCCAGGGAATATTGCTATGTACAGTGGGCCAATCCAATAAGGCTGGAACAACTTTCATATCATCGTCGTCGTCATCATCATTATTAGCGTTATCACCATTATTATCACTGTTAATTTCAACGTCGCCGCGTTTTTTGTTCTGCGCTCGCCTGCAGTTGAACCTGAGAAATGAAGGACATCTTGAAGGCAGCATGAAAAGCAAGACTGCTACTGTCACCGCCACGCAAGAGTCAGTCACCCAACTGGAATTATTTTTAAACGATAAAAACATCTTCACCACCACCAACATCATCATCAATATCATGATCACCATCATCTACGTCATCGTCATCGCCATCTTAACTTACCCAAACGGGACTAAAAGGCTTCCCCAGCCAGGAACGAATTCCGGGTGCCTGGTTAGCCACAGCAGAGCAAGGAGGATGAATAATAATAAGATGACTGCCTCTGCGAAACTGATGACGATGATGATGATGACGGTGATGATGATGGCGATGATGATGATGACGGTGATGATGATGATGAGGAGGATGATGAGGACGATGACGGTGATGATGATGATGAGGATGACGATGAGGACGATGATGAAAGTTCGTACATTTTTTTTCTTTCGTCCGTTTGTTGAATGACAACAACAACAACAACAACAACAACAACAAAACATTATGACATCACCTCATTTTTCCTAATTTTGCGTACTCTTTCTTTATGACGTCACTGGCAGAATCATCGTCGTCGTCATCTTCGTCACTTCTACTCTTTATGATCTTTGGTATTAATTTTACTATTTCTCTGTATGAGTTTGGAAAAAGATTGTTTGAAAAGTCAGTCGGTCGGTCTGTAAAATTAATTAACCAACCAACCAACCAACCAACCAACCAACCAACCAACCAATCAACCAGCCAATCAACCAACCAACCAACCAATTAACCAATCAATCAACCAACTAACCAACCAACCAGCCAGCCAATCAACCAATCAACCAACCAAAAAACTAACTTGAAACCAAGAAAAAGAAGCATAAGCCACAACCAGGCAAGGAACAATGACAGAATCATATTCGGGAATGCAAACACAAACCAGGAACTGAAGTTTATTCCGGAACCCGCTCCATATAATCTAATTATTATTATTACTATTATTGATACTGATACTCTGCCATATCATCGTCATAGGCTATCTATTGCGGCAGAAATGTGAAATAAATCAATTCTAAAATTAATTAACTCTGGTCATACTCCCTCGACTCGAATGATGAGCTTCTCAGATTAATACTCTATTTATTGCATTTGACATTTTATTTTATTTCATTATTTTATTTTAGTTGTATTGTCATTTTCATTGTTTTTATTGCCGAATAAAAAATTGTTCCCATTATTTTTGCTTATTACTATTGCTAATATTATTATTATATTATTATAATTATTACGGCAGAATAAATAAAGCTAGAATATAAATAAAATTTTCAACGACATTAATGAAAAAATTGAATTTAATTTGAAAAAAAAACTCTCTCCCGACACATCTAATTGACCCTTAAGAACCAAATTCGGGCCGGTCCCCGTCAAAGTGGCAGTCCCTCCAATGTTTGCCGCGTACGCTATACTCAGTCTCATTCCTTTACCAACCTCTTCGAACCATCTGTTTATCTTATTGTTGACGTCATCGTCGATGTTGGAGGGAGTGTGGGTAGTGTTGTTTTTGGCGGTGATGTTGTCCGTGGAAAGTGTGTTGTTGTTGTTGTTGTTGGAGTCAGCGGTGGAGTCGTTTGATTCGAAATTGTTTTTGTCGTTGTTTCTAATAAGGTTGTTGTTGTTGTTAATGCTGTTGTTGTTGTTGCTGTTGTTATTGTTGTTGTAATTATTGGCGCAATTGCAACACGTAAAAATCATTTCCTTGTTGTCGTTCGATCTGACCTGCTGGTTCATGTTACCTTCTGAAAATATTGTTGTTATTAAATCATCATTGTTGTTACTGTTATTATTATTGTTATTATTATTATTATTATCATTATCATTATTATTATTGTTTTTATTAAAACTTGGAGGCGATGTGCATCTTCTGTTCTGTGTTGTTGTTGATGATGGTGCTGTTGTTGGTGGAGATGCCGTTGTTGTTGTTGTTGTTGATGATGATGATGGTTGTGGAAGTGCTGATGTTGTTGTCGGTGATGGCGGGGCTGTTGCTGATGTTGTTGTTGATGACGTCATGTGGTCCAGTTCCACGACGGCAATTACGTCATCACTGGTATTTTTGGAACTATTTCTCGTTAATGCTGGTGATTCGCATTCCTTACCTGAAAGTTTGAAGCGGTTGTTTTTGCTTGTCTGAACGTTTTTAATAAAAATCTCGACTGCTTATGTTTTATTGAAACAATGATTTTGTCAGAAAACTTAATTTTTTTCATCAAAACTCACCTGAAACAAAACCGTCATTATAAACGCCAACGCCTTCAGCGCTACTTCTAACGCCACTACCACTACTACCGCCAATTTTTGCACTACCACTAATGACGTCACCATTTTCCACTACAGTAACCACCAAAACGTCATCGTTTCTGAGGTTCTTTTTAACCCCCTTGGCCTTTTTTATGTGGCTCTCTAGTTCGTTGAGTACTGCCTGGGCGATTGGTATCATCATCGCCGTTGTCGCTGTGTTGCTTATCCACATGCTTAGGAAGGCTGTGGTCGACATGAAGCCGAAGAAAAGCCTGTGTGGTTGTGTTTGTGTGGTAGCTTGTGGTTACGTGTAGTTGCGGTTGTGTAGTTGTGTGTGGTTGTGTGTCTGTCGTGTATGTGTGGTTGTGTGTCTGTCGTGTGTGTGCAATTTCGTGTTGTACGTGTGTAGTTGTGTGCATGTGGTTTTGTGTGGTCGTGGATGTGTAGCTGGGTGTGGTTGTGTGTGGTTGTGTGTAGTACTGCCATTATTATAAACAACATCATCAGTGACATTATCATCGTCGTATCACTTTTATCATCACTGTTAGAATCACTTTGCAATCACATTGTCACCATCATTCTCATGGCCACCGAAACTGACCAGCATGGTTTCGAACCGACAAGCATGAGAACTCTGAGAGCAATTCTCTTGTGCAGATTCCACTTTTCCACGGCTACTGCCACCATCAGCCCACCAAAAAATAGCATGTTGGCGTCCTTTTGGTGAGATGATGACGACGATGATGACGATGAGGAAGAGAATGATGTTGGTGATGAGGATGATGATGTTGATGACGACAATCTTGAAACAAATTTTCGATTTTTAATTAATTTCTGTTTTTTTTTCTGAATTATTTTTTAAAACAAGCTTGAAATTAATTTATTCTTTCCTTTCACGCTAACTTTAATCGCTAATCACCGTCTCTCTCTCTCTCTTTCTCTCTCTTTCTCTCTCTCTTCCTCTTTCTCTCAATGTATTCAGTTCAGTACTGAACGACGACTAAATGATGATGTTTACTGAGTTATGTACGTTAAGATTCTACTCTTTGATTATTTATTACTCATTCATTCATTCATTCGTTCGTTCTTTTGTTCGTTCTTTCATTTTTTCGTTTGTTCTTTTGTTCGTTCTTTCATTTTTTCGTTCGTTCTTTTGTTCGTTCTTTCATTTTTTCGTTTGTTCTTTCGTTCGTTCGCTCATTATACATCATTCATTAAGTCAATTATTTATTTGTTTAAATACTCAATCAATCGTTCAATTATTCATACATTCATTCAGTCAGTCATTTGTTCAAGATCCAGAATTTTAATGATTTATAACTCAATTTTTTAATTGTTCATCTATCCATTTATCCATCCATCCATCTATCTTATCTTCTTTTTTATTCATTTATTTTATATTTTGCTTTTTCTTTCATCCATTCATCTATCCGTTTAAGCATTCATTTTCATAAAAATTCACCCATCCATATTGTCAATCAGCAATCCACAGTCAATCAGCCACCAATTACAACCAATCAATTAACCGCTCATTCACTAGATTATTGACAATCAATAACAATCAATTACTTAGTTATTGACAACCAATCGTAATCGACCAATCACTCAATGACAACCAATCAAAAACAACACCCCGTTACTGACAACCAATCAAAACGAACGACGCATTTATTAACAACCAATCCGAAACCTTGAAATAGTTCTCGCAGACTTTTTTAGTATCTAAGACACTCAACCATGGAAAGATAACAATGGGTAACAATGCTGTTACAGCCATTGGGATTGCCTCCGTCATCCAATAAAATGCCATTATCATTATCCCATATGCACATTTTCCAGCCTGCAAATTTGTATTTGATATTTGTTTCTAAGTTTGTTTGTGTGTGTGTGTTTTGTGTAAATGCGTGTGTGAAACGTTGTATGTGTGTGTATGTGTGCGTGTGTGTGTGTATGTGTGTTTGAGAGGTTGTATGTGCGCGTGTTTGAGAGGTTGTATGTGCGTGTGTGTGTGCGTGTGTGTGTATGCGTGTGAGCGTGTGTGTATGTGTGTTGTTGATAATTCGAAAAATTAATCGTAAAAAAATTATTTAATTAATTATAAATTGAAGTATTTAACTAATTATAGAATAATCAAATATAATTACAACTTAATTAGTTAATTACTAACTGGGGTTGGCACAGAAAGGGGTAAGGGGAGGAGGGCGAGGGGTACAACTATCAGGACCAATCGCATCCTCATTGCCCAGATTCTTCGTAAGATCGACTTCTTCATTGTTCCTCTCTGATATGTGGAATGGAAATATAGCAAAGATGATTGAAAAATGTGATTATCGTGATGACGACGATGACGACGATGTCGCTACTGTTGTTGCTGCTGCTGCTGATGATGATAATGATGATGACGACGACGACGATGATGATGATGACCAATGATAATGATGATGACGATGATGACGATAAACCAAAAAATATTACCTATACAAAAGTTACACTTATCAATGTTTTATACATACATGTATATTTTTGTCTATGTTTAATACTACAGGTAGCCTTTGTTATAAAATATTGAAAAAGATTTAATTAAATTTTAATTACGTCATTACATATATATATATATAGATGTGTGTAATTATGATTGTGTGTGTGTGTTCGTGTATATATAATGTACGTGTATGTACATTTAGAATATATATTCATCTAAAAATGATTATATATATATAGAGAGAGAGAAAGAGAGGAAGAGAGAGAGAGAGAGTGAGAGAAAGAAAGAGAGAGAGACAGAGAGAAAGAAAGAGAGCATAAACAAAAAAACCATCAGTATATTATACTACAATTAAAAAACTAACTTAATCGTATTTATTCCTTGAGTAGTATTTCTTAGAGATACCGGAAAGACCAAGAATCTATTTATAGAATTTATTGACCGTGACAAATTGAATTATGTCATATATGTATATATATATATAATTATAATTAAATATATATATATATAGTTTAATTTTGGGATGGTAATGCTGTTTGTAGATTTACATGCATAATCAAAATATTATTCTTCTTATCTTTCATCTTCGTCTTGTTGTTGTTGTTGTTGTTCTTCTTCTTCTTCTTCTTATTTTTATTATTGATATTGTTGTTATTACCATTATTTTTATTATTATTAATATTTATGTAAAATGTATTCAATGACTTATCAGCCAACTAAACTATGACTGATATAGCGCATAACGAATCAAATATCTACGTATTTCACTTTGTTTACAATCGGTAAATATACTAAAATTTATTTTAAGTGTCGTAGTAGTAGTAGTAGTAGCAGCAGCAGTAGTAGCAGTAGTAGTAGTAGTAGTAATAGTAGTAGTAGTAGTAGTAATAGTAGTAGTAGTAGTAGTAGTAGTAGTAGTAGTAGTAGTAGTAGTAGTAGTAGTAGTAGTAGTAGTAGTAGCAATAGTAGTAACAGTAGTAGTAGTAGAAGTAGCCGCAGTAGTAGAAGTAGTAGCAGCAGATGCAGTAGTAGTCGTCAATACTAACTTACATTCAACAACACTGATAATGATATCCGCTGCAGTCTAATAATAATTCGACTCCGAATTAATTATTAATATTAGATAAGAATAATTGTATAAGAATATCGAATCTCATCTTCAAGATGATTCACGCACACACACATAGCCACATAGCCACACAGAGAAAGAGAAAGAGAGAGAGAGAGAGAGAGAGAGAGAGAGAGAGAGAAAGAGAGAGAGAGAAAGAAAAGAGAGAGAGATATGTAGAGACACATTCACAGACAAGCATAAATAAAAAAAAAACACATACACAACACATACACAACACACACACACAAACATATATACACACACACACAAACATACATACAAATAAGCATACAAACGGGGCATCGAATTTCTCACCGTATTTTCATTCTCATCAAGGATAACTAATGGTAAGAATTAATGAAGACGATAAATAACAATAAAAATAAAAAACAGATTAGTAACAATAACGTAAGCGTACAGTAAATTTTATTGTAAATTTAATGTAAAACGGTGTAAATATATTGTAAAGAGACGTAAAAACGGACAGCTTCACACAGAGTTGCAGTTGACAAAAGTTTGAGAGACGATGATAAAACTTTGAAACTGTAAAATCAGCGGTTGTAGTAAGTTCTGAAGCCAGAGGATGATTCATATTAACAACTGGATTGGAGTTTAATAAAAGTTAAAAAAATGTTAAAGGTCTCATTTCCTCTTCCAAAGTTCAGAGTTCAAAATCAACGATACGTAGAACAGCGTATTGAGAAGTAGTGAGACAAGGAGGTAGAGAGATTTAGAGAAAAGAACCAGAAAAAGCAAATGCAGATTTAGCAAAAAAATGTTTAACACGAGTTAACAAAAAGTGAGAACAAGAAGTAAAATAAGAAAAATATATATTAAAATTATAAAAAAAATACATCAAAATCTGTATTTAATGTAGTATTATATGCATTTGAAGTCTGGATCATGATAATGATTCGTCGAGTCTTGTTATATCTGGATAAAATATCTAATAACAAACATATCTGGATATGAATATAAATTATATATATCATGTATTTAGATAAATTAAAAATAATAAAATAATAAATGTCAATAATTACCAAATAATACTTCAAGAGCAGTATTTTGTAGAGTATTATGTGCATCTAGTTTTAAAGGGTAATCAAATAATGAGCACATCACTGTTTTAAAAATAAACCACTGCTTTCTCCATAGCAAAAAAAATATTTTTTAGTGGCTTAATTGTTTTATTTTATTATTTAAATAACTAATTAAATTGAATTAAATTGTATTTATTTTATTTTATTTGCCAGTGATTTGTTTAATTAATCATAATTTATGGCGATCCGTTAGATTAATTTTTCAATTATGCGTTGAATAATAATTACATTTTTAAAATTAAAATTAAATCTAAAAGTTTAAAATTTATTATTGAATTTAAAAAAAATTAATTTGTGTTTTTTTTTGGGGCTCACTATTCACTAATTTTTACGAGTTATGGAATTTTATCAAAAAAAATTATGGGTTTCAATTGTGGCATATGACATTTAATTAATAAATAAATACACTTATATTTCATTTTAGACATCATGTCATGTATGTATGTATATGTATGATATGATATGCATATGAATGTGCCAAAAACTTAAAACTAATTTATGTACTTACATAGGGAAGAAAAATGATTTGGTAGTGCTGATTAAAAAATTCGCCCTACTCACCCTGTATAATCACCTACAACATTAAAATCTTCACTAAAAGTTGTATTCCCAGTTAAATATCAGCCAACAAAATCCGGTTTCAATGATCGGGATGATGTCAGGATGCAGCAGACCCTCCACTAAAATCATCCCCGTGACTATGGCCTGGCTGGTTCTCATCGGCGGAACCACATTGTTCTTTGTTTTTGTGTTAGTCAGTCTTTGGTAACATTTTTTTTATAATCTTTGGTTAACTTTTTTCATATATTGTATTTTAATTTAAAGTGTGTTATATATACAATAGTGATGATAATGATGTTATTGACGATAATGATAATGATGAGGATAGTTATTATTATTTGTGTAAATAAAATATATTATGATTATAAATGAGTGAATAATTGGTGAGGATATTGATAATGATGATGATGATGCTGAAAAATGAAAAGTATGAGATAAAGTAAATTAAATAAAACTAAACAAGATACCAGAAATAATTTGCTTAATTGATGATAATTCTATTCAATTACATGGTGGTCTTCTTAGTATCTTTTGTTTTGTTTGTTTGTTTGTATATTTGTTTGTACATTTGTTTGTTTGTTTGTACATTTTTGTATGTTTGCTGGGTTTTTTTGTTGGTTGGTTTGTATTTTATTTATGTTGCTTGCAATGTTGTTTGTTTGTCTATAAGTGTAGTTTGTCTCTTTGTATACTAACATTTCTTGTTTTGTATTTCCTTGTTGTACAGCATACCTGTGTTTTGAAACTATTTACAAACAGACACATACACACGCACACTCAAAACATACACACACAAAGACATACAAAACACGCACGCACGCACACATACACACACACACATACATAACTGTTACATACGTTAATGTATGTATGTGTGTATGTTTGTATGTATGTATGTATGTATGTATGTAATTTGCATATTCAATATCTCCATGGCAATACCAGTTCTCATGTTCTGATGAGTTTCCTTCATCCAGGTATACGAGTGTATGCAAATACAATGCATACAAGTTCATGATAGTTGTATACATATAGGTATACATACATTATATATAAATAAGCATACATACATACATCTACATGCATACATACATATATACATCTAGATACATACATAGACACACATACAAACAAACATACACACACAAACATATATACATACAACCACACATACATACAAAGACATACACAAACACTCACCTACATATACATACCACAGCATACCTTACCTCGCCACAAAGTATGGTCCATTGGTAGTCATCGTACATAGTCTGGTGACTATTTTCGTACTGGCCAACTTTTCAATGGCCACTTTTATGGATCCCGGGGTTTACCCTAGAGGTGGGTGGGGTGGTGGTTATTATAATTATTCCCACTATATTATTATTATTGTTATCAATTACTTTTATAATTATTTTAACCAATTTTAATTATTTTAATCAATTTTAATTTTAATTCATTAACGACCCTGGTGTTCAGCCCACGAAGATGAGGCCCACGAGGACGACTTCCACGCCCCCCTCTACAAAAATATCGAGATCAACGGCACGACGGTGCGCATGAAGTGGTGCGGTACTTGCCAGATATACAGGCCCCCCAGATGTTCACACTGCAGTGTCTGTAACTGCTGTATCGAGGTTGGTTGGCTGGCTGGCTGGTCGATCGGTTGGTTAACTGATTGACCGTTGGTTGGTTAGCTGATTGCTTGGTTGGTTGGTTGGTTAGCTGGTTAGCTGATTGGTTGGTTGGCTGATTGACTGGTTGGTTAGCTGATTGGTTGGTTGGCTTGCTGGAAGGTTAGTTGCAATGTTGTTTAGACATAATGTGAAGTTTACCCTTAAGTAATGTTATTGTAAACATTTACAAGCTTTCCAGGCTTTATAAAAGAATATAATTAATTATTCATAATTAATTATTCGTCACATTGTTGTCCTTTTGCCAATTGTTACTATCATTATAATTTCTATCATATCATGACAACTTCATCATCATCATCATCATGATCGTGACCATCACACTGATCATCATCCACCACGACCACTAGTTTGATCGTTATCATCACCACCACCGCTACAATCATCACTATCATCACCCTTTCTGCGATCATTACCGTCACCAGTCCTTTGACCACCACTGTCCATGGGTAAACAACTGCATCGGTCGTCGTAACTATCGCTACTTCTTTCAATTCCTCCTCTCTCTCACCATCCACATCTCCATCGTTTTCTCCTCGACTCTTATCTACGTGCTCGATCATAGGCTGTACGTCACAGCACCTCACTGTATCGTTAGGTTGGCTGGTTGATTGGTTGGTTATTTGGTTGATTGGTTGGTTGGTTGGTTGGTTGGCTGGTTGGTTGGTTGATTTGGTTGGTTGGTTGGTTGATTGATTGGTTGGTTGGTTTGGTTGGCTGGTTGATTGGTTACACACACACACACAAACACAATGCAATTATACACACACACAAATAAATACTAACAAATAACCTCAAATACCTTCAAACACGGCAACACACACAAACACACACACAAACACACACACATAGCATGTGTTTAATGGTACTGATTGGCCTGTTAGTTGTACCTATTTTCGGCCTAACCATCTTCCACATTGTACTGGTCATAAGGGGCAGAACT